AAGAAATGGGAGCAGTCCACCTCAGGAATGTTTTATAACAGAACCTTGTGTAGAGCAGTGAAAAAGGGTTGAATGAAACTCTTTTAAGGAGAAAGAATTTGGACCTACCATATCTGTATGTTTTATGGACAGGGATGTATTAGGGGTCTAACACTGAAACCATACAGTCCCAATAGTACTATCACACTCACATTCATATTGTGAGAGAGGTTCTCATCTCAAAAGAAGATAATTCCTCAGTTGCTGTGCTTATTAAACTTTATGGCCTCAGGGCTTATTCCCTGGGATCAGTCCATGGGGTGCTCATATTTTACCTCTTACCTGCTTGAAAGCTTTGGAATACACTGTGAATCAGCACTCTTCAGGGACAGAAGAGTGTGGCTTGTAGAGCCAAGTAATTACATGGAAATTTATTCTGTACTAGTCCAGATGGGGTTTTATCTTACTGGTTTTCAACTTCGTGTGTGTGTGAGAGACAGCACAACAAAATAAACTCAAAAAGAAACTGTATTCAAACTCCCCATATTACAATCTGGAAATGATCAATTTAAAGATGCAAAAGTCAGCAGGTTTGGTCTTCAGGATTTTCACAGTCACATTTAACTTGTCTTCGTGGTATACAAGTACATTCTAGGTCATAGTCCTCGTGTGGGATCACTGCTAAACACACATTCTTTTTGGCTGTTTTGGCTCTTTGCCTTGAATGTTGGAGCAAGTTATCATTGGGTATGAATTTTAATGTGCACCTCCTCACTTTGATTCCTGAGTAAAGTAGGATGCGGGGAGCTAAGGTGGTGGAGATTGGTCCTGGACTACCTGAAGGTATGAAGCTACTTATAGCATTATATTTTAATCCCTTGTCAGACGTAAGATCTCTGAGGACAGTGAGAAAGGTACCAATCTACTTATTTGTGTTCTGTCAGTTCTTCTTTCCGTGGTCTGAAGAGATGGAGTCATGAGCCAGTTCATTTCCATCCTGGATTGTAGGGTAGGGAGGGAGGACAGATCACTCAGAGAGGAACTAGGGCTGGTGTAGCCTTTGGGAACATGACTCGGGTGGGCTCATAGCTGTCAGTGGACCCAGTCCTCCATCATCCAGAGACTGGAGGTCTTTTTGGCCTGAAACAATAGGGTGCACACATCTTGTGCCATTATGCTCAGCAGTGGGTTGCAGGGGCCAAGATGCCCTGCTCTACCTGGACGGAGGTCAACGCTTGAGAGTCATCTCCACTGGAGCACACATGTTTCAGAGTTCCTTATTTTTTCCTTTACTCCTCTCGTGAAAGAGCATATTTAATGTTTATAAGCCAAAATATGACCACTTTATAATTATGTTATCTCATTTCTCAAAACATAGCCAAAAGGTAGATATTAGCAATCCCACTTACATGGGTGCGGAACCCAAAGCTTGGAGAGCCTAACTTGCCAAAGTCCCATAGTAAGATAGCAGGGAATTAGAATCAGATTTGTTTGGGTCTATAGTCCGTGTTTGTCCACTGAATAAATTTATACCAAGATATTTAGAGTACTCAGAACCTAGCAGGTACAGAGAAGATGAGGGTAAAGGAGAAGAACGCTCTGGTGGACAGGGAGGCAAGCTTTGCTCTGAGTCGGCTCTGATCCTGCCTGTGTCAGTAGGGTCTGGCTTTTCACACTACCCTGGCTTTTCGGTGATGAGAAGTCCTTGCTTAGCCAAGTGTTGAAATGCACAGGGAGGGTGGACTGCCTCCTTCAGCTTATTTAGCACTTGGCTGGCACTACCAATCTTGTTTAACATTTGACAAGCTATTATTAGATCATAAGAGAATAAGGACTTCTCAATATCTTGGCTTCCTTTTCTACAAAATGAATACCATAGTCTGCTCTGTGTGTGTGGACTTTGAGAAATAGCTATCTGTATTGAGTACTTTAAGTGCATAACAGCCTTTCTTCAAAGTGGATGGAAGCAATGTGACCTTCTTTTGGAGAGGCTTGCGTTCCCCTCCCAACACTAGCTCATATGGAGACTCCCACCCTCTGAAGCTCAGCAGGCCACCAAGTCTCATTTCCAGTGAATGTCATTTAAAAGCCAAAGCAAGCTGACTACAAACTTTTTAACATGTGCCTCTCATCTGCTCAGCAGAAATCCCTGTAACTTGTTAATAGTTCCTTTTTTTTTTTTTTGTAGTGAAACCAATTGAGGCCTTAAATCAGTACCATTCGTTCCATCTTGGGCCATCTGAGAAAACCATTTAGAGTTATAGAAAGTCATCTGCTCCATCTTGCACTTCCGGCTGCAGGACTAAGGCCAGTGTCTGATGAAGCTTACCTATAACAGGACAGGACAGTGTGTTGAACAGGTGGTCTCCTCAGGGGCCACATAAACACCAGACCAACGAGAGTAGGACCAACTTTCAAAGAGAGGAGACCACATTCATATCTCGTAAAACACAAATCTCTTTACAGCTAGAGTCAAGTTTCTCCATTTGTACCATGGCACTTACTGCAGTAAAGTTCATGGCAGGTTGAAAAAGAAGTAAAATATACAGAATGCCTCAAAGAGAAGAAAAGAATCTCTGAGTTTTCTGTAGGATATAGAGTGTAAGAGGTGATTCAGCTATTCAACAGCAGGAAACATGAAACAGTCTTTCTCTTCCTTCTAGAATCTTCCCCTTCCATAACTCTCTCATTATATTAAAATGATTCCTTGGATAGCACTTGGAGTTGACTATTTATGTTTATTTTAGTCCTGAGACAGCTACAGGCCCAGAAGGATGTCAACCCAGGCCCATTAGCTTGAGCTTTTCATGTCACAGCTGAGGAGAATTAAGAAGTAGACTTCATTGCTTGTGGTTTTGGGCCAGAGAGAAGCCCTTGGCTGCTGGCAGTTTTATAATGTTTGGCCTTATCTTAGATTGTCAAATAAAAATTACTTTACTTCTTCCTTTTTTTTTTTCATTGAGGGAAATTTCTTTGACCAAGAAAGAGGCAATATTAGTTGAGCTATAAAAATTCAACTCTGAACAAAATTTAAACAGTCAAATCTTTACTTCTCTTCTGAGGCCTTTTTTTTTTCCCCCTGCTAAAAAAAAAAAAAAAAAAAAAAAAAAAAAAAAAAAAAAAGAGAGAGAAAGAAAGTTGGAATCTACAAGCATGTGCTTTGTGATTCATTTTCCCTCCACTGAGCGCTGGGATCTACTGTGCTCCCTGTGACTGCGGGGGCCTTTTTTTTTTCCCCCTGCGAAAAAAAAAAAAAAAAATCAACTTTGAATTCCTCTTTGAGGCATCTGCCTCTGAATCCAAACATTTGAGACCTCTTTTTCCCTTCCTAGAATACTGTGAATGTTTTCCCATTATCTCTGAAATCCTGCGGTTTTCTTATCCCTGTTCCTTTCCATCTGAAATATCCTTCATGTCTTAATAGCACTTAGATTCTTAGATCCCCAACAAAAACTGAAGGCACCTTGTCCATTGAGAGATCACAGTTCTCAACAATTAGGGGATATACCATTGGGAGGGAATTCTATTAAGGGATTCCGTTGGAGGATAAAGCAGGTTCATATTCTGGGACTCAGTGGAGGATGCAGAGCCCCAAGCACTCTCTGCCTTCATTTCTCCTTTGAGAGACAGGAAGTAGGTGCTACAACTGCTGGCTCCTGCCCCTGAGAAAGATGAGTCTTGTCCATTTTACTCTTAGTTTTCTTAAATGGAGAACTTCTTTGGAAAAAAATGGCTTTAACTGATTTTTAGTCCATCCATCCATCCTGCCATCCACATGACCTACAATCAACTCTTTCTAAGAGATTTAGGGCCATTTAGAAATGGAAGGGTTTTGAAGGTCCTCTAAAGCACAGTGTAGCCTCTGACCTGAGAACTTGCAAGAAATGTCCGTCTTCAAGCTTGGAACCAAATATGGAGAGTCAAAATCTAGATGAAGCCAGCAGGCCGTTCTTTGGCAAGCCCTCCACCTGGGTCACATGTGCACTAAAGTTTCAGAATCGCCGCTCTGAGTACTGTGAAATAGGAATTCGTTTTGTATCATTAGTTTTCAACCCTGGCTGCACATTAGAGTAATTTGAGGAACTTTGAAATAACACAGATATGGGCCTCCCATGTCTGAGATTGAATTCTAGATGGCCAGAGTTTTCAGCTGGTGGGACTGCTCAGCCTCAGAACCACTGATCTTACTAAGTTTCTCATCTCTGATGAAGAAAATGAAAGCATGGTGGGTGAGAGAGGCAGCAGGGTCATTGGGTGTTTCATGTGGCAAAGCTGTGAGTTGAATCCATTCTCCTAATTTCAGATCAGTTTATGACCTGTTTGGCTCCATACACATCCAGACTCAGATATTCCAATTTCAACCCTAATTTCAGTCTCTGAGACTGGGAAGGATCCTATAGAAGATCAGCAGACTTTCTGCCTTGCTCCATTCTAACCTACATCTCATAATTATGCACATCATATGCTTTTCATATGACAGAATCCAGTCTCATGTCCCAGGTCCCACCACCCAGGTCCCTTTGCCTGTCTTCTCAGGCCTTCCTGACCTGGCACAGTTCTCCATTTCCTCTGACGTGTCCTGCCTTGGTATCCTGCATTTAGGGCTGAAAGGCTGAAATTGCAAAGTAGGAAACAATCACCTGACAAATTACACATTCCACACACTTCCACTGAGAATGGGAGGAGCTGAGCCAGTGGATCTCAGTCATCACCCGTGGTCTTATTAGAAAGTGACTTTGATGGTGAGAATTGGAAAAATGAATGCCAGAGCTTTGCTATAATTCTTTAAAAAGTGAGACTAAGGCTCTTACAGAAAGAAAAGCAAAGACTTTAAGGGTATCTTGTTATTCTTTGTCTTCTCTTTTGTAATGTGTGGTCAAATCATGCAACACCATCCCCGTTGCGGGGGCTCCCCACACACCATCTTCTGAATTAAAGGAAAGCGATAGACGTGTAAAAATCTAAGGTGTTTCGCGTGGACAGACTCACAATAATCACTGGCTTTCTGCTTTATTTTTCAGGGAGCAGCACAGGTACCTCCCCAAGCACCTCCAGCACTGGGACACCATCCCCTTCGGCTTCCTCTCATCTTTTATCTCCATCTTGTTCCCCTCCGACTTTTCATTTGGCCCCCAACACTTTCAACGTGGGCTGTCGAGAAAGCCAACTGTGTAATCTAAACCTCTCTGATTATCCGCCATGTGCCCGAAGCAACATGGCTGCCTTGCAGAGCTATCCGGGGCTGAGTGACAGTGGTTACAACAGGCTGCAGAACGGCACGGCTTCAGCCACTCAGCCCTCTGAAACCTTCATGCCTCAGAGGACTCCATCTCTGATCTCAGGAATACCAACTCCTCCCTCGTTGCCCAGCAACAGCAAGATGGAGGCCTACGGTGGCCAGTTGGGGTCCTTTCCCACTTCCCAGTTCCAGTATGTCATGCAGGCAGGCAATGCGGCCTCCAGCTCCTCATCACCACACATGTTCGGCGGCAGCCACATGCAGCAGAGCTCCTACAATGCCTTCTCTCTCCATAATCCCTACAACCTGTATGGATATAATTTCCCCACCTCTCCCAGGCTAGCTGCAAGCCCAGAAAAACTGAGCGCATCTCAAAGCACTTTACTCTGTTCTTCTCCTTCCAATGGAGCATTTGGAGAGAGGCAATACCTGCCCACAGGAATGGAGCACAGCATGCACATGATTAGCCCTTCACCCAACAATCAGCAGGCTACCAACTCCTGTGATGGGCGGCAGTATGGGGCAGTCCCAGGCTCCTCCTCCCAGATGTCAGTACACATGGTTTAAAGAGCAGTCCGAACACCATGGAGTGATGGCAGTCAAGACCAGCAGAATCTCCGTGGGTGGAGCATCCTCTTTGGGAGCCTAAAGCCTTGGGCAAATAGGAACTTGCATTTATTTTTTTCTGGAGGAGGAAAACAAAGAACAAGCGACACCTTTAAGGCCACTGAAGGATCCTTGGAGTGAACCATCCATAACTCAGTGGCTGTTCTCCTGCCTTCGAAAATCTTAGTTTTATAAAGCATTGTGTATGACAGAGTGACCTTTGAAGAGACTGAGCAATCATTTTATAATAATATTAAAGGAGATGCTAGCATGTAGCAGCTATGAAAAGTTACACACACGCAAACCTACCTAAACATACCTACATGCACACATTCAAGAACACACAAAATCATACACAAACTCATACCTACACAAACATCCTGCACACTGACTCCGAACTGGGTGAACTCTGTGGAAGGAGGCCCAGAATGGGTGCTTTCACCCAAAAATTTGTCTATGTACCACACTAAATGGATTGGGCTGGCAGCAGCTGCCAGCCTGTGTCCCTTGCAGCTTACCGTGTTTCCGGAATGAACTGTGTATCCTAGAACCTCTCCCTGTCGCTGGGGTGGAAAAGACATCAGTAGCAAAACTGAACTTAGCCTCCCAAAAAGATTGCTTTGAAACTTTGGCTGTCTTCATTCCTTGTGCCATCATTGGTGTCCCAGTGGTGTCTGTGGAAGGATGGAGTGAGAGCAGCTGAAAGAAAGAGAATGGAGAGCAGAAGAGTGGAGAGTAGGACTGACAAGATGGGATTATTGAGGAGTTTTAATTTGCCAAGGAGGATTGCTTGGGTTTGTTTATCTCCTAAAGTTATAGGAAGAATGATGGACTTGCTGGGGAGTAGTCTCTTTGGACACCGCTCATAGTCAGGGTACTGAGAGGGGCCAGGACAAGGAACGCATCTTGATCCCATAGTTCTCATCATCCATCATGACTCGGAAGAGAGGCGTACCACACAGGAGTGCTGCTCCACAGCATGCAGCCTGGCAGTATGAGGAAAGCAGAGGTGTGGGGAAGAATGTTAGCATTCTCCCAGATGATACCAAGAACAGAGGTGGAAATAGGCCTGGCTTGCACGCCAGATCCAGTCCCATCTGCCCCCGGGCTCCTGTGGCAAGAGAACCCTGCCACGCTCCAGGAAACTGCAGCTGGGTCTTCCACAGCTTTCCACCTATCTGCCTCCAGACCTCCACTGTTATCAAATCACTCCTTGCATTTTGAAGTTTTGGGTTTTTTTTTCTTCACTTTTCCTTTTTCCTTTAAACCCTTTAATGATAAGAAAACAAGTGAAGCTTGGTGCAAGCTAAAATTTTTAAATGGTGTGGAAATGCAAATGATACCAAGTAAAGTAATACAGATATTATTAAGATTTTTGGTTTTGAGGTGCTGTAGATAAATGTATTTATATGCCTAGTGGGTTATTCAATATTATGACTATTAAAAAGGGGGCACTAAAAGGGTATGTAAAATATGTATGAAGAAAAGGTGTATAAAAGTTTGCCCTAGGCACGGAACTGTTTCTAAGTGCCAAGCACAGAAAGCCGCTAAATAAAATCTTTGCAATTGTTTTCTCTGTGTTTGTTCATACAGAAGAATTAAATATCAGACTTGTGCATTTATGTCCTGCCTTACAAGAAGCCAAGCACGCTCATATTTACAGTCTTATATGACCTTTATGCAAACCCCATGAAGTACATAACATTTTCATTTTATGGTTAGTAGCTGAGCTCCACAGAAGTGAATTATCCAGAATCACATAAGCCATCAGAGACTTAAAACTAGGTTTTTGCCTTTAATGGACTGTTCACTTACATATTAGCTGCATAAATCTGTGTAGGTCTAAAAGCAATCCTCAGTATTTCTGAATGACAGGAGCTCTACCATTTCTATTACATGACTGTTTCATCCTCCCAACAATTCTGTGAGATAGGTCTAATTTTTATAATTATTTTTATAGATCTGGTAGCAAGCTCACAGAAGACTATGCATTTGGCCAAGGTCCTCAGGTAGTAAGTGATGGAACCAGCAGGCTGACCTTCAGGTCTATGCAGGTAGCATCACCTCATCATGCCAAAACTGCAAGTCTTGGGAAGCACTTGGAGAATCAGAAACGAAGGCATTCTAAAAGACTGAGGCAAAAGTGCTCCGAGGCTGAATTTTGTTTTATATATTTAATTATAAATATATACCCTCCTTTGAATTCACTGAAGGATGGGAGGAATGGTTTGGGGCTGTCATATACAAGTGACGATTTTTATTTTTATTTTTTAAAACATTTTATTATTTTTAATTTTATGTGTATGAGTGTATTGCCTGCATGTGTGTAAGTGTACGCATGTCATGCAATGCCAGTGGAGATCAGAAGAAGGTACTAGATCCCCTGGAACTCAAGTTACAGGAGATTGTTAGCCACTAGGTGGGTGCTGGGAATCAAACCTGGGTCCTCTGCAAGAGCAGATGGTGCTTTTAACCACTGAGCCATCTCTCCAGCCCCAAGTGACAATTTATTTAAAAAAAACCTAACAAAGTGTACGGGCTATGCCATTTCCATACACTTTCACATATTATCTCATTTAAGCCTTCCAGTAGCCATAGAGAGTGGACGGGGTAGGAAGCCTTGCTTGTAAATGAGGAACAGGTCTGTAAATGCTGTGATCTGCTCTACCTCCTTGACAGTCAGTGGTGCTAGAAGGTGCAGTCTCCTGGTCTTATCTCTCACCAGAACTGTTTCCTGTTGGGTAATTACATTGGTTACTAACCTCTCCAGTCTCTCTTGGATATGGGCAGCTTGGGTTGGAAATGGAGCCAGGTTTAGGGGAGCAAAAATTCTAATTGATCATTGCTTTGGTTACATGAATAACTCCAAGAGGGAGATGCCAGCCTATCCAATTAGTCATCAAATCCTTAGCAAACCAGTTGAAACAAAGAGCAAAAAAAAAAAAAAAATCCCCATGGATTTTTAGGCTGTCTGATCATGATGTGTCTCAAAACATAAAAAAACACTCTTCTTAGGAAACCCCTCTGCATAATGGTAGACCAAAACCAACTACATGTAAAATTTTTGATTATTTCTTCTTGATTTATTAGAAAACCGAACACTATCATTGGCTTAGTGCCCTCTGAAGTTTTAAGCAATAAATAAACATAATATGCCAGGCAACAAGCTTGGCATAGAAATGTCCATGTTTGTATTTAATAAGAAGAATAGAAATTATTTGAATAATCATCTGGACCATTAAATATAGAATATTTTTTATAATTTTGGCTTTTTAGAATAATCCAAATAAGTTATACATGAGTTATGGGGTTTCATCTATACCTGAGGAAGTATTAAAAATATTAACATAATCTGGATAAAGAATTAGTCAATAATATACTCTTATGGTCTCAAATAAAATCATTTGAATTCATTGTATTTTATACACTGATTACATGCAAGAGGGTGTTTCTTGAAAAGATTATTTCTTCATGGTTGAGATGCCTTGTCCTTGGCCATTTTTCCTAGGGAAAGGCTGTTTTGTTCATCTGTAAATTCTCAGTCCTTAGGGCAGGTCCTGGGCTGTTACAGATACTCAGTGCACATTCACTTCCTCTGCTGAATTTGTTGAACAAACTCGGGTTTTCTGGGATAGTGCAAAGTGATTGTATGGCTGGATTATCATTCATTCCAAAATAAGGACATTTAAGTTAGCAAAGATTTGTTGTTTTTTGTAGGATAGTCTGTTCTAAGTAGAAATTTAATTTCTATAGTAGCTAACAGTCACAGTACATAACAGAGTAAAATGCCAATATGTGCCATGATGCTTTTATTTATTTGCTTATTTATTATTGTGTGTGTATGTGCACATGTGTGTGCAGGTATGTACAACTGAGTGCCTGCATGGAGGCCAGAGGAGGGCATCAGGTGCCCTCCCCTGTCACTTTCTGCCTTGTTCCTTTGAGGCAGGGCCTCTCCCTGAACCTGGAGCTCATGTTTTTTTGCTAGACCAGTATCCAGCAAGGGACCACAGCATGCTTTCATGTGTGGGTGCTGTGATCCAAACTCTTGTCTTCATGATGACAGAACAAACTCACTTGCCCTCTGAGTCATGTCTAGAGCCCCATGACTTAGTTTTCTTAAAACGACCCTTTTTATGTCTGCCATTCATATGGAAAATGATATAAAAGTCTCTGAAAATTCAGAGAAGATTCTTAGGATGACGAAGGGAGGTTGAGGTTCTTTTCATTAAGGAAGTATGATTTGGTTAAACTTTGAAGAGTGGTTGGTGGGTTTTGTAGAAGTAAGGAATTGATGGGGTTTCAGAATGAAGTGCCAGGGGTTCAGCAGTAAGAACACTGGCTGCTCTTGCAGAGGACCCAGGTTCAATTCCTAGCTTTCACGTGGTGCCTAACAGCCACCCTTAATTCCAATTCCAGGGAATCCAATGGCCTCTTCTGACTTTGATGGGCATTGCACGACATGGGTGCACTTACACACATGCAGACAAAACACTCATAGACATAAAATGAAAACAAATTAAGATGAGCTATCGATTTTAAAAGGCTAAGAAAATAACTTGTAGCACAAATGATAGCATTAAAAATGAGCAATTCAGTCAAGGCGGAGGCATTCAAAAACTTCTTACTTTCCCTTCCCTTCCCTTTCTTTCTTCCCTCTTCCCTTTCCTGCTTCTCTCCTCTCCTCTCCTCCCCTTCTTTATTCCCCCCTCCCCCTTCCCTAACTCCTCCCCCCTCATTTTTAAAATCTTTCCCTCTCTTCTTTGATTTTGCGCTATTGGAGATAAAACGTAGGCTTCACACATGGCAGGCAAATAACCGACCACCGATCCTTAGCCCTCCAGAAATTTCTTGGGTACTAGGGACTAATATCTTCTTTCATGAAATACTTTCTCATTAGCTGAGTGTTGAGGCCTGAAATCCAGGAGAAAGATTGACGCCGGTGCTTGATTCATTGCTTAGTACTCAGATGAGTTCAGAGAAGTTCTACTGCACTGACTTGCGTTCATTCACATCAGCATAGCTGCATCTTCCAGGAAGCCAGCCACAGAAATGTCTTTTCCCACAGGTTCTTTTGGTCTCCATATCCATGACCAGCTTCATTCATTCACCTAGTTCAACTTGAATACTCATGTAATGACTACTGTTCCAAGTACTGCTTCAGGGATGGCATAGCAGTGAACAACCAGATGTTGTCCTGCTTTTCAGGAGCTCGTGACCTGGAGGGAGACTGACAGTGAACACACTAGTGTATAACTGAATATAACTTCAGATTGCTTCAGTGACTCTGAGGGAGGTAAAGGTAACAGTGCTAGGGAGTGTCAGGAAAGAGGACGAATGCTCACTGACATAGAATTTTGCAGAAGGCTTCTCTACGCAGATGACATTTGAGCTACAAATGTAGAAATTACATTAGGATGTGCTCGCTTAAGTGCATGCTGGGGCAGCCAATCCTCAAAGGAAGATTTATTCTTCTAGTCTTGTTCAGCGGAGGCCAGACAGTTTTGTCCTTATACTTGCTTTGTATTATTGATACTTATTTGACAAAGCCTTCAGGAATTCTCTGATCTGAATTCATCTACATGGCTTCAATAAAGCTACATTTTCATGACTTCCTTGGCAGAGCAGAGTTATCTTTTATATTTGACTTTTTAAAAAACTTTGTTTTTAATAGAATTTTTGTGTATTTTATACAGAATATCTCAAATGATCTTAATCATCTTTATACCCCCGTTCCCATCAGCACGCTCCCACAGCCCCCCCCAGGACCTGTATACTCTGTCATCTGTATTAAGGCCAAATGTGTCAAGTCAGTGTCCCCAGATGTTCCCCTGTGCAAATCCATCCACTGAGGACTAGTCAGCCTATGTAGAGTCTCTTGTTTTAGGAAGATCAGCTCTTCCTCACCCAGCAGTAATCAGCTGCCAATGTTTCCTCAGCTAAGATTGGGGTCTGCTGCTCATTTTTCCAGTTCTGTGCTGGGTTATTGTCTACCTGAGTTTGCATAGGACTTGTGTATGCTGACACCATTGCCATAGAATCATATAAGCAGGGTCCCAGGAGCTTGTAGGACACTGACTTAAAAAAATTTTTTTAAATTTTAATTTATTTTTATTTTATGTGTATGCATGTATTGCCTGCATGTAGGGTAAGTGCACCCTGTTGTGTAATGCCCTTGGAGGACAGAAGAGGCTATCGGATTTCCTGTAACTGGAGTTGCGGACAGTTGTTAGCTGCCATGTGGATGCTGGGGTTCGAACCCAGTCTTCTGCAAGAAATTTCTTTTAATATTTTGTTTTTATTTTATGTGTATGAGTGTATTGCTTGCATATGTGTAAGTGCACCTGTGTCATGCAATGCCTGCAGAGGTCAGAAGAGGGCCTCAGATCCCTTAGAACTGGAGCTACAGATGGTTGTTAACCACTATGTGGGTGCTGGAATCGAACCTGGCTCCACCACAAGAGCAGTCAGTGCTCTTAACCACTGAACCATCGCTCCAGGCCCCCTGTTCAACTTTTTAAAACATTGCTTTAAAACTTTTTTTCTACTTGACTTTTGTAA